TTAGTAGAATACAGTTAAAGGAATATAGGTTTGGTTCTTGACCTCTTGCTGCACTCCAGCTATTGCACAGATTTGTTAAATTCTATCAGCAGCACATCTGATTTAATTTAATGATGGACTTAAACACTTTCTTTGAAGGGGTTAAGCTAATGTACTCACACACATAAAAACACAAAATATCGTTTATTTAATTGATTTTAGTGTTAGTGTTTCTTTAAAGAAATAAAAGAAATGTTAGTTCATACAAAAGAAAAAGTAACAAATAAATCACTTTATATATAATTTTCTCCAATTTTTTGTAATGTACCTGATGTGGACTTGTAAGCTACTATGGAAGCATATCACTATCAAAATGAAAATGAAAATGTAAAATGTAAAATAGAAATGTATTTACATGTTTCCAGTCATTTATGAAATGTTGAGCTCAAAATCAAAATTCAAATTCGATATTGTGATTTTAATTGATACTTGGTATACTAGTATTGATATTTCATTTGGACAGAGATTTAGATGCTTTATGAGTAGCTTCATTTAAATTAAAATGTATTTTCAGAACTGCATATTTATGCCTAATGTGATTATGCAATAACTCTGTCAAAATGATTCATTAAAATGTAATTTCTCTAATAATGCATTTAAATTTTATTACCAAAGAGAACACCAAGCTAAAAAGATGGCAAAATTCAAATGTAAGTAGGAAACAGCACTTGTCCTTTTTGTCATTACATATTCTCGCCTCTACTGAGCTCATTCCGTGGCAAAATACCTTTGAAAATGCATTCAACTCCATTGCATTTTCATTGTCATGGACTTCTCAACCTGTCAATCATCCCATAAGGGCAGAAGCGACTGTAAGCTACAGATGTGGCAGATAGAGATTAATCCAGCATTGAGGGCTATTTTCTAACTTACATAGTGAGCATCACATGCGGATATTTTGCTCTGTTCCACTTTATCTGTTAGCAAATATGTACTCATAAAATGATTTAGTTGTAATTGTACAGGTACACATAGACACGTGTAAATCGCACAACCTGCTAGTCACAGTGGCTGAATTGCCAACAGTCAATGTACTGTGTTGGTACTGTGTCACAACTGAACTGTATTCAACTAAGGGGTCTCTAATACTCTGTTTTTTTTCTAAGATTAATATTACAGAAATCACTGGAATTTGTGTGTGACACAGTGAGCGGGATCATGTTAGCCAGCTGGTAAAATCAGCAGATGGGGAGCTTTGTTTGGGAATGTAGCGTTAGCTAGCATTAACAATGGCTTTTAGCTAGCTTAATTCCATAGCCTTCCATGTAGCGTATTAACATTTGAATATATCCACCGCTGATGTTCACTCTAGATATCCCTGCATGGCACCAGCTGGAATTTCTATGTCCAGCTTCACTTTCAGCCACCATGCTCAGTTTATGAAATGAGGCAGAAGTTCGTTTGTTTTTCAAATTTTCCATTCCACCTTAAACGGTGCTGCTGTAACATTCGGGTGCATTGGGGCAATAAAGGCAATTTCTGGAAAATTAGAAAAAGAAGCTGGTGAGAAGTTCAGCCCCATTTTTATCAACCAGAATGATAAACCAGAAAACTTTGATTAAACACTTTTTCATGGGGTCATGTACTAAAGACGTTAAGCATCACAAGTGGCTATGTTTCTATGCTTCACCTCATCTGCTTATGCAAGAGTAGCTGTGAACTCTTCGACTGCCATGTTTTTAAATAAAGCCTTTTCCACTGAGTGTACTGTTAGCCCCGCCCTGAAGGGATGATTGTCAGGTTGGGAAGTCATTTTACCTTTGAATTTGCCCTCTTTCTAGCATGGTATTCTCTCTGATAATGTAAATTAAATGCATTCTTAGAAAGTGAAAGTACATGTAAGATAAATTACATTTGAATTATCATTTTGACACAATTACTGCATAATCGCTTTAAGCACAAATATGCAGTTCTGGAAATATATTTTAATTTAAATGAAGCTACTCACAAAGCATCTAAATCTCTGTGTAAAGGACATGTCAATACTAGTACACCAAATCGCCAAGACCGTTTCCCAAATAAAATTACATTTTCATTTTCATTTTGACACTGATATGTTTTCATAGGCTAACACAGTTGTGCTTAATGTAGTTAGCATGGTCACAGTAAACAACTTTGCATACGTTTTGAGCTGTGACACTCAGCACCACATTGCATGAGCGATATCTTGGCAAATTAAAATATCTTAAATCTAATAAATATATATAATATTTCTTATTATGAGACTGTTGTAAGAATACTATACGATTATTTAAAAGGCCCATATCATGTACAGTATCATGTAAGTTTCCTTGCATATTTTTAAATAAAAGAGTTTGATGAAGTATGCAAACATTGTACAACCAATGTATTTACATATGTAGAGAATACAGCAGTTTGGCCCTGTCCACTCACACTGAAGTTATAAGGAATGTTTTAGTTTTTTTAACTAGGCGCAACACAGGATAACCAATCAGAATAGAGATAATTTACATATATCTATCTTAAAGGCACAGTAAAAAACAAAAGCTGCCTGATTCAGTTTAGGTGAAAACAGTGATGTAAAAAAAAATGGCTGTTTTTGGTACATAAACCCACAAATATATTATAAGTAGACCTCAGAGAAAAAAATATAGAAAAGAAAAATGTAAGATGTGAGCCTTTTAACTGATTATGTCTTGAAACAAGCAAATTTATCAGACAACAGAACAAGGCCATTTCTCAAGATAAATTTACTTAGAAATGTCCAGCAATAGGTTGAATAATCTTATAATGTTCTTCAATGTGATATATTTTATATATATTGACTAGATTTAAAATGTTTTCACTTGCTAAGATGTTTTTTTGCAGTGCGTGCATATTGTTTATTTCAATCTTTTGATATTTTATCTGTGCTGGTTTCTTCTGCCAGTGAGTAAGGGCTCTTGTTCTTTCCTCATAAAGAGCTTCCAGTAGCTAGTAACCCTGCTGACATAGTTAATTCATGTAGAAATGTAGCAAACTGTTGTGTGAAAATCTGAATTAGCCTTCTCTGCAGGCTATCCCTATTATTTATTTCTCAGTTATTTAAGACTTTTATCAGATTGCTTTTAAAATCTTTCCACAACTTCTATGTTCAGTTTTCCTGCTATGTGTACATCAAAGCAAGGGAAAAAACATGAAATGTGATACATGTCTTAGGAATACTGTGGCTGAGCAGAGAATCTTCAGAATTTGCCTCTTTTTTTTTTCCTTTTTCTCTCTCTATAGCAGATTTAGAATCTTGGTATGCTAAGAACAGAAAATGTTCCCTGCATGTCTGGACCTTTCCTTACCTTGTTAGTGCTTTTAAATTCCATACATTTGCAGACTTTCTAGGCTGTGCAGAAAATGAAAAAAGGATATTTCCAACTTTGTGATTTTTTTAAAAGATGGCATACTGGTATCAACATCGAGCCAATATCAGCAGAAAATGCTATATCGAATATGAGAGGGTAAAAAAAAAACAACAATCTGATCCTGTCACAAATCCAGCTTTGAATACTGGGATGTCATGCTGTGTCTAGCTGTGTATTTTGTCTTGTGGGATGGTAGTTTTTGAGTGGTTGGAGCATGACAGCCTAATTTTAAAATATAATCTTAAAAAGGAATTCCACCTTTTTTATATTTCTGACTAAATAAATGATTAAGATGTACAAGGTTCTTCTATTGTTGCCAGCTTGACATAATAACAGCAGAAGCCTTTTTGATGCTATATTGAACTATTTTTAAAAAAGGTTCTATATAGACCCATATACAACACATTCTCCATCAAACTGAAGAACCATTTCACCATGCAAAAAACAATTTAAGCACAAAATGGTTCTACATAGATCTCATGGTTCTAAACAGAACTGTTTCCTTAACTTAAGAAAAGCCATCCTGTGCACCATGTACCATTTCACATAAAACTTTCTGTATGACTCTGTATAACTGAAGTTTTGCAGAAATGTTGATAAATCAGTGGAATTCTGCTTTAAGTAGTTTTTAGGGATGCACCGATATGGGAATTCTGGGCTGGTGCTGGTATCCGATATGTTTCATGTACATACCCGGCAGTTTATGTAGACACTGGGACTAGATCCACCTGGACCAGCATTATACTAAAATGAATAACATAATGTGAATAACATTTATTTCTATTGGGTTACAAATACGGTAAAATGAATAAAACACTTCTAAAAACATTCTGTTCTTCTGCCAAATCTAAACATCTCTCTGATGGTGATAATTTTAAGCAAATATCTGCTAAAACTGATATGATTTGGATATCATTGTGCAATCCCTAGTAGTTTTTAAAGAAGAAATATTGGATTATTATCAGGACTGGTTGATATATGTTTCAACATTGGGATCAGAAAAGAAAAGGCAGCATTTGTAGCGACTTTTGTAACGACTAGTCCACAGAAGCTCTGCTGATAGAAATGTCCAGTGTTACATATTTTCCAAGTAAAGTATAGAAGAATATAGATTAATGTTATTAGAATGTATGCTGAATAAAGACCATCAGAGCCAATAAGATTAAAACCTGATGGCTTTGCTTTCTAATGGTTACCATATCAACCCATCAGGAAAACAAACACCATTCGTGACTACCAGACACCACCAGGAACCAATATAAACTTTTAATAGTTTCTGATTTTTAACAGGGTGAACACGTGTAGAACGACTCATAATCTCCCTGATCTAAAATGAAACCAGTACAGTAGTCTGAATACAGTCGTCCTGACCACAGTCAGAGTGGACAGTCTCATATGTAACACCCCAAAGTTAGCACCCCAAACTTTCCCTGCCCTCTGCCCCCCCCCCGCTTTTCTAGCCCCTTATCCCACCATCCCTTTGCTCCCACAGCACGTTCCCCAGCGCATGAATTAGTTACTTTCCAGCCAGCCTGACCCCCGAAAGGGAGAGTTTCAAGGAAGTGAAAAGCAAGAGGTGTGTGTGTGTGTGTGTGTGTGTGTGTGTGTGTGTGTGTGTGTGAGTGAGTGTGAGAGGGAGAGGTGTGTGTGGATCAGCCTCCCCGGACCGCTGCAGCTCTTCAAGCTGTAGGATATCCAACAGGTCACTGGACTCTACACATACGGCTCGCTGTCGTCGCGGTTGTAGCCTCTCCAAACGAAACTAAAAGCGTCTCTGTGTTTTGGTTCCTGGAAAAAAAGAAAATGGCTGGAATGCTGAGCAAGGACCTGCCGGATATCGAGGTAGAAACACTCCTCTATCCTCTATCCCTGCTCCACAAACAACAATAACAACAACACTGCAGCCATTTCAGCATCGCCTTCTTCGTATATTGTTGTGTTGACGTTTATGACCTGCTGTCCTTTGGTCGCTGTTATGATTCAAAAACGCCCTGTGTAACGTTCTATAACTGTCGCAACCCACTGCTTCTTCTGAAACGGTTCTTAATGTACCCAGTGTAAGTTAGTGGTGTACTAACGTTCATATTTGTCGTTTTAATGTCGGGTGCAGTGCTCGTTACTTACCGCGTCCTTAACTTCGTTCTTCTTCGTGCAAAGTTAGCCTGTTGGGTAAAAGTTAGCTGCAGTAGGTTGTGAGAAACGTCAGCGCTGGTAAGCACTGCTGTCACAGTTGACTCGTTTAGTTCTGATGTCTGAATTTGCCTTTACTGCAGGCTGTGCCAAGTATTTTTCTCAATTTTTGGAAAGAAAAGCCACTTTTAAAGAAAGTATGTGTTTACATGAAGAGCTATGATAAGCCGCTATGATGCACTTAACTTATGTTTGTTCAGTAAAATCCGAGTAACGTGTTTTGCGCAATGCTGTTATGAGCTACTACATTAATAGCCTGATACTGTAAGTATTAACGCTGATTACTGACAGTGTTACAACCGTTGTCATTTTTACATAATCAGTACACATAAGCTAGCTTTTTGTTATTAAACTGGTAGAGATGTAGCTCCTCCTAGATTACTGTGTTTACTATGTTGTGCGAATGCAGATTCCAGGACTGTTAGTTTGTACACTAAAGCATTCCATAACTGTCACAGACACGTGAGTGTCACGTGTTCTTTTCTCTTCTGTCTTCTGAGAATTTGAGGAGGTCTAAGCCAGCCTACCATTGCGAGTATATGTACTCAGCTACAGGAAGAGCTGAGAGTGTGAACGTGCTTGTGCTGAGCACGGCTGGACTGGACTGTGGCCATTGGTGGAATGCATATTACTGTAGAATGAACGTCAGTAACCTATTGCTAAAGAGTTTATAACTAACACGAGACCTATGGCAGGAGTTCCAATACACATGAGCTTATCTAGAACTTATCTAGATGATGAACTGTTGGACAAGGTTTTGCAAATCCACTGCTTACCAATTAAGGAACTGAACCTTGGCTGTTTTTTTTGGCTGTCATCCAGCATGAGAAAGTTAGTAATATCATCTGAGAACTGTGCCTTTGAATATCCTTTGAATACTGGTTAAAATCTTGGTTAAAAACTTTGTCCAGAAAACGATTAAATAGGCTAAGACAGCATCAACAACTGATTCAAATCAAATGATCTCCTAATCTGTTTGTGGGCCTCTGTGAAAAGTTGCCAAATGTTAATTTCCTGATCGCAGTTATTTGAGCGGATCACAGTAATTCATGCTGACTGCAGTTGTTTAGCACAATGGTTAAGTTTCACAATCATATTACAAGAAACAGAATGTTAACTGAGTGCATTTTCATCAGTTGGGTTGTGGCTAGGGGTAGGCAATATGATGGTATTTATCATTATCATAATAAGCTGTATCACAACATGCTTTTCTGAGCATATCGTAGATATTGTCTGCTTAAAGAACACTGACCAACTGTGTTTATCATTATTTTTCTTCACAAAGAGAGCATAAAGTTTAACTGGATTCATTTCAGCATGGTATGCAAAATTTTCAATAAAAATCATTGGATTTAAAGTTTTTGATAGTATTTTTTTAAAACATATTCATTATTTATTTATTTTTTTATTTATTCTTTGTCTGTTACAAATGATCAAACCTTAGAAAACCTAAATATTGTGATACATATTGTACATTGTGTACCATGATAATGCCTTTAATTATTGTAATTATAGTAGGGTGCGGTATTGCCAAAAATTTTATTCACAGTATAATTACAATTTCTGGTATATATACATATATATGAAGACCTTTTAGGCAAAGGCATAGATAAAAAAAAAAAAAAAGAAACCTAGTAATTTTTGTTGAATAATAAACTGTTACAAATTTTAATGTATTATTAATATTATGACCAAGTAATTACTAAAATCGTTCCTAAACCTTCACAGTTCATTAAAAATGATATATGAACATGCACGCTATCTCTATGTTTTGTGAGAAGAGGAAGATCAGAAACAAAGCTCCTGAAAGTTTTTGTTGTTCTGTCACTCTAAAACCAGTCACTTAGTTTTACTTCTTCAGTCAAGATCTACCCTGCCCAAGTCAGCTTTGTTTCTTTTCAGTCCAGTCACTGAAGATCAGGCTCAGGCCACCAGTCTTGCCTGTTTCATTCAGTACATTTTATTGCTGTGAAGTTGTAAACAAACAACATATATCTTCCTCAACAGTAGCTCGCAATCATTGGCTAGCTGGCCAGCGTTACCAAATTACAACAAGCAAGTAGTCAGCTTTCCACAGGATAAAACAGATAAACAGTTCCTTTTGCCCCACTTTATTCATATTTCAGACCACCTCTGTCTGCAAAAGTCCACAAAATGTAAAACTGAACTTAACATTGCAAAATAAGGTCAACCCCATCTCCTCACAGTGTGCTAAATTAGCCAGTTCACTAACTACAGCTTGCTAAAACCGTCTGAATAGTCTGTTCTATTGACGACCATTTCATTCGGCGCTTCGCTGCAGAGTTTTATAATTGCAACTTCATGACATTTCATATCATTCTGCAGTATATATAGCAGAAATATATATAGCAGGGAATGGGGAAATTTGAATAAGAAACTTTAAAGGCAACTTCCCAAGTCATTTCTCATATGTGTGTTCCGTACACTTGTGCCTCGGACCATCAGACACTGCTGGAATTTTGAAAATATTACGATCATTTATGCTTCAGTACCAGCTGGCCCACAGCTTGTTTCATGCACAAGTTCCTGACCAAGGAATACAGCTGACCAGGTTAGGCAGCTTCTCAGGCGGTATGAGAGGAAACAGAATTGCAGCAGTTGATCTAGTGTTCATTTTAGGCTTAGTCTAACCCCAGAGAACCAGCCATTCCTTTATGTCCACTGCCTTGAAAACAAAATGGACTACTAGATGCAACAGACTAGACAGCAGGAGGTGATTGAGGGACTGCTGCATTTTCATTTTTATTTTAAATGTGACTGACACAATCATGACCTAGCCACTCAGGTAAATGGGATGACGTTAGCGTAGTCTGTATTCTATGATTCTATGTTGTGTTATCTGCGCTTATTTGAGGCATACTGGTATAACGGTTATGACAGAACTTATACATAGGAAAGATTTTCAATCGGTAGACTATCATGAAAGTATATTTTGCCATATCACCCACCCCTAGTTGTAGCAAATAAAACAAAGCAGAAAGCACATTTGTTGAGACACATCATGGGTCTTAGGAAAACGACGAAATTCTAACTGGTGCTGTAACACATTTAGAGGGTAAAAATAAGTAATGTTAGTTTATTTAAACCTGAGCCATATCTGTCATCAGTTGGGAGCTTCTAAGAGTAGATTACTAGAAAGCAAGAAAGCTAAGAAGTTTTTGATATGATCACATCAAGCGTATAATGTATAATAATATTTTTAAATAGACAACATGATATTGTTTTAGCTGAATAATAATTCAAACAAAAGTCAAAAGTCAATTTGACATATCTGCTACATTGAAATGCCTCCAGCTGCAATGCAAAGGTCTGTTAGTAGCTCTAAGTGCGGTAGGGATATTCTTTGGTGCAGCACGAAGTAACGCAGGTCAGAACCGTTAAAAAGAAAGTTGAAGAAGCTGCATGGTGGTCCAAGCAGCATGGCTGCAAGATCTGATAATGTATGCAGAGTCTATGAACTGCTTCATTTTTACAAGACAATAACAATCTGTACATGTAATCTGCATCAGTTTCAGTGAAGGAGTATTGCGTTTGTGTATACAATTAAAAGTGCACTCTGGAGTGCCAGATAACACTTCAAGTGCAGACATTTTACCAGCTGCTTAACCAACATCTTTTGGTTATTCCTATTCTTACTGTAACAGAGAAATATCTTTTTTTTGCATGGCAGATTATAGCCCACACTATTGCGTACTGATAATGAAGAGAACAAAAGATACCCTAGTAAGACCTATTAATACAAAATAATAATGGAAATGTGGTAGTGAAACCCGGGTTTCACACATAACCTGACATCACATAGGCTAATGGTATCAGGAATGCTTATAAATTCAGTGCGAACCGACAGCTTGCTTAAAAGCAAGATATGTTAGTTTCCATGCCTGGACATTACTACTATACTTATACTATTCGTGCATAGAATAGGGACCCTTTAAAAAAATTCACATGAATTTACAGAGTAAAACTAGTCTATTAATCTATCAGACTAGCCTTTTTATGCAAATCGTTCAACTGTTGTTGAGAATTCGTGCTAAAAAGTGAATCCTCTGGAGGCCTGAGGCAAGAAAAGGATCAGAATTCCCAAAAAAATAGACAATAAATGTTTCGACCAATAAAAAAGGTGGGATACTCAATTTAATTTTCCAGTTGCTAATTTTTGTGTTGCATAAATGTATACAAAAGAATAGGACACATATAATCAGTATTATTGTCTCCAGAAGAAGCAGAGGTGCAGGTAATTCTAATTGGAGTGAGCTGAATCCAGTATGACGCAGTGAACGCGCATTTCGAACTGTTTCAAATCCTCTGCCTCGAGCACTGGAGTTCCAAAGGAATCAAAACATTCAAGATTGTCTTGTTCAGTTTTACTATCACTAAAATTTAGGGTAAGCAATTATCACACCTTATTTGTAGAATTCAGTTCTATTAATTACATTTATTTGAGTATAAACTGCTGCATTTGATTTCAAAATGACTTACCAATTTTCTAATCTCCAACAAAGGCCTTTAGCTCCTTCTTACACAGCCTGCAGTGAAAGTGTGCCCTTATAAATACAATTATATGCACGCCATTTAAAACATTTGCACATGGTCTCTCACCTTTACAGTCAGGTTCATTAGGGAGTGTAATG